TATGCCATGGGGCAGTTCTACTCTGTCCTATAGAGTCGCTATGAGTCAGAATCGACTTGACGGCAATGGGTTTTGGGTGGAGTCCCTGGGTGGAGCCAACGGCTAAGCGCAACTACTAGCTGAAAGGTTGGCAGCTGGAACCCACCCGAGATGCCTCAGAAGACGGGCCTGGCGATCTCCTAGGCACACGTAAGGTCGCCACGAGTTGAAACTGACTCAACAGCAACTAACAACAACAAGTAGTAGTTCAGGCAAAGGACGATTGTGAGTTGGACCAGAAAGACTGCAGAAGGGATGGACAGAAATGGACCAATATACGAAATACTTAAGTGATGGGAGTTCAGAGGACTTGATGATTGACTGGATACAAAGGATAAAAGAAGTTAAAAATGACTCCCAGCTTTCTGTTCTCAGCAGCTGGAAGGGAGTGCCAGTCACTGAGATGAAGAACGCTGGAGGAGAACAGGCTTAGAAGAGAAGATGACAAGTTTGAGATGCCTGTGAGATATCAAGCAAAGATGTCTAACAGGCAGTACAGAGCACAAAAGAGTGTTTGAGAATCATCTATATAAAGACTGATGCCAACTTCCAGAAGCAGGAGGGCAGCCTAGGTGGAGAGAAAGAAAGGACAAAGACTGAGAACTCCAGTACTGTAACGGTTAAGTAAAGAAAGCAGAGATGGCAAGGAGGACTTTAAGTTTTTTATAAAATACTGGTTTCTATTTCTATCTATATACAAAAAATTAAATAAATTACAAAGGGAGTGAAGAAGAACTGATGAGAAAAAAAGCAACGTTCAGATGGTAGTTTGTAAGTCTAGGATTGAGATACCAATGAAAGGTAAAGGGAAGCTTTTGAGTTTGGCACTAGAAGTATGCCTAGCTCATGATGATGATCAAATACATTAAGTCTATCTCCAATGCTATGTTGTCTTTATTCATGTGTGTTTCTCTTACAAAACATCTTCAAGTTCCAAAGAAACTACTGCTGATACAGATTCCAATGACAAAGTACTGAATAAATAAATCCAATTAAATAACAATGGAGTTCTGAGAACATTAAGAATGGTTGGCTTCTTCCTTTGATTGAAACTAACTACTACAACTCTTGACAACTAAATCATTCCTTGGATACCAAGTCTTAGATTATCATCCCACAAACCAATAAAGACAGTCTTGTAATAGTTGTGCCCAGAAAATTTTATCTCCAACACTGGAAAGCTTTCTTTGAAGTTTCATCTTCGAGAAGTGAGCTACATTAAAAAATAGGATACAAGACCCAAAGACATCATCAGGCCAGTCTTGCACTTTAACAGGGTAACTCAGTAGCACAAATCTTAAAATCCAAACGGAGTTCATGATCAATCAGTTTCTAATGGGCACTGGAGTCAGATATGACTGGATCTGAAAACTGACTCTGCTACATATTCTTGGGTGGGTTTCATCCACAAAATGGGAATACCAACTACATCATAGAGTGATTAAGTGGATCAAATAAGACAATGCTATAGTTATATTATTTTAAATAAAATCAAGGCTAATCATCAACAGGTACTTTCTCAACTTCTACTAAATATAAGGAACTGTAGATCTTAGATACTTAAGACATACGAAGAAATGAGGAAAATGTTGAAAACCCAGATAGTATTCCAAATGCTCCATTTACTGGCACACTGTAAAGTATGATCATACTTAAAATCATCTCGATTCCAACTCATGACATGCATTTTGTTTTCCCAAAGCAACCTCACATTTCAGAGGATATCTACAGACTTTAACACAAGACAGACATGGCACAAGCAATTCCAAGTGTGACGTATGTGAGGAAAAATGCAGGCGCTAACCTACATAGCCTGGGGGTGGGGGAGGATTGGCGAAGGCTTCCCCGAAGAAGTCAAGTTTAAGCTGTGATCTCAATGATGGATAAGAAGGAAGTTCTGGAATAATATGCTTATATACTGGAAGCAGTAGCAAATAATTTTGAGAATTCAAGATGTTTTTTTCCTCTGGAGAATAACATTTTTAAAATGGCTTTCTTCTAGTCTTGCTTTTCATCACTACAGTTAAAAGCAATAAGAATTAAAGTTATATTCTACTATAGAAATGTTATCCTATCCTTGAACCTTCAAAAGTAAAGATCTTTTCTAGCCAAATGGTTTACTATTCTCAATTTATTAAAATCGTTGTTGTCACTATTATGTGCTGTCGAGTCAATTCTGACTCATAGCGACCCTGTAGGACAGAGCAGAACTGCCCCACAGGGTTTCCAAGGAGCCACTGGTGGATATGAACTGCTGACCTTTTGGTTAGCAGCTGAGCTCTTAACCACTGCGTCAACAAAATAACAATACTATTTATTATGTCATTAGTCTTATAATTGGTAGTAAACACTTAATAATCATTAATGTATTCTGTGAATTATTTCAGTTAATACTTATAACAATCCTATGAAGCAAGTGTAATTATTATTCCCACTTTATAAATGAAGAAACTGAAGATCAGAAAAGTTAGGAAACTTGCTCAGATCACAGAGATTCAAACTCAAAACTGACCCAAAGGTAATGCTCTTACTAGCTATGTCCTGGTTGTGTGATTAGAGCATAAAAATGAAAACCAGTTCAACTGGCATAACAAAGATTATTAAGAAAATGTTCTGCATCCCACTTTGGTGAGTGGTACCTGGGGTCTTAAAAGCTAGCAAGCAGCCATCTAAGACGCATCAATTGGTCCCAACCCACCTGGAGCAAAGGAGAATGAAGAACACCAAAGACACAAGGAAAGTATTAGCCCGAGAGACAGAAAGGGCCACATAAACCAGAGACTCCATTAGCCTGAGACCAGAAGAACTAGATGGTGCCCGGCTACCACCAATGACTGCACTGACAGGGAACACAACAGAGAGTCCCAGATGGAGCAGGAGAAAAGTGGGGTGCAGAACTCAAATTCTAGTAAAAAGACCAGACTTAATGGTTTGACTGA